TCTTTTCCAAAAAAATATTATTATTTTTTTGTGAAAAAGACGCAAACGCACCCGTGTTGCTCTTTCAGGAAATAGGACCCGTCACCAGTGCCGGAGCACACAGGGGAATGACCGCGGCAACACTGAACAGTAAACTGAAACAGTGAAGCACTCACTTTTCTGCCCTCTAACCAGCCGTCAACACACACAAACCTTTAGAAATTTGTAGCTGTAAACAGCAGATGAGAGATCAAAGCTCGCGATCACCGCTGCACTCGCGCTGTAGAACCACCAGCACTGGGAGAGTTTTCCAGAAGAACACCGACACACTCGCTCGTTGTAAACAACAGCACTCTTCAGAGACATCAAAGACGATCGGCTCCGAAGTGAAAGACAACTAGTGCGTGCATCCACTTCCGTATTTATACCCGCGGCGCGGGGGCGGAGTGTGTGATGCATTTCACGCACGCCAATTTCTTTGGCTCGTTTTAATAGTACTCGAAGATGACGGTCTCTCTAAGCGTGATCCCAATCAGTCGACTACGTCGAACGTGAGCGACTGAATGGGAACTACATGTACTATATTTACTATAGGGTTAGGATTAGGTTTGGTTTAGGGTTAGTTGCATGTAATTCTAAATAATTTATAGTTGTTGCTATAGTAACTACATGTAATGTTACCGTTAAAGTTTTGAACAGAAGCAAATTACTGTCAAATTTAATTTGTGTTGGCTTCACATATATTTCTGGTTGGCTTCTCAGGTTTCACATGTCTCTCGAGTTTCAGAACTGCCAAAGTCTGTGATCAAAAGTTAGAAATCACAGTATGCACTCAATATTCACAAATTCTTCCAAACCAAAATAATCTGGACTGTATGGTCTACACTTTACAGCTCTATAATCCTACTGTCTATAATCCTGCCTCTAAAAATCCTATATGTCTGTCTATGTTTCCTAAGAAATTTGAGATATTTGTCAAGATTGATTGACAAGAAAAACATAAAAGGGAAAAAATACTTTCTTCTTGGTTAAACTAAGGTTTTACATGATTTTACCAGATTGTTAGCTGGACATTTCCAAGAAAGCACAAGTGACTTTATAAGGCATAAGATCAAGTGTGCAATGAGTAAACAGAGCTAATGCCACCTCTCCACTGTGAAAGCCATTAGCAATGACATTACTGCCTGCTAGAGCACTGGTGCAATTTAAGAGTATTGCAAAAATAAATTTCAGAAGATCTGTCCGGCCATTAATGTAACTGCCCTACTCCAAATAATAAAGTGTGATCTGAAATACAAATAAGACTTCATACATCAGAATCTACTAATGTAACATGTATTTCCTCAGCTCATTGGTGTTTAATTATTGCATATGTAGCTCATGTGTGGAAATACAGATTGGATCAGCGTGTATGCAATCTGTTTGTGGATGTATTTGCAATTATCCCAATGCATTGCATTCAGTTGTACAATAAGCAATGTTGACTCCCTAATCAAGCATTGATGTGCATGGTTCAGTGTGCTGTGTGGCTCATTTGCTTCTTATTTCTTATTCTGTGTACATACAATGCTCGGCTGGATGGAGACTTGAACAGACAAACATTAGCTGTGTAACATATGTCCTGAACCCCTGTGATCTATGTCCACCTGGCCAGAATTGACCCACAGTGGATTAAGAGATCCAAATTGGCTGTTTGATATATGGCCAGTCCTTGTTAACAGTGTTCCCTCCTGTCAATTCTCTCCATTGCTTTCAAGGTCAACCGCCCTCTTCTGCTGGACAAATCAGAGAGCTTATAATCAGTGATGCTCGCACATACACACACTTTCAAACTCGCTCATGAGTGTGAGCGTCAATGTTGAAAAATATGTGACACTATGTGTTTTAACATGACTGTCTCTAATTTATTTTACATGATATGCATGAAGAAAATATGAAATTCATCCCTGTTTTGTCCTAATCATGGCCTTATATCTGTGATTCTATTTTCTTCTTTTCTAGCTTGTAGAAAATACATTTTATTGCCAGCAATTACTGATTCATGATTGTTTGTTGTGGTTTTGACTGCAAGACCCTGAAACAGATCAATATCAGACTTCACATCCCAGACCAAGACTTGTTGATTTATGAACTACAGTAAGTAAAGACAATTATTGTATCCATTTCTAACAGTTTCATGTTGCACACTGAAAAACATGATCAAATCAGTAATCTGTTTACCAGTTATGCCTTTAAATATGATATCAACGTGGAGTGACGTGCATTTAGTTTAATACCAGTCAACTTAAATAACACTAAGCTTTCTGATTGAATTGTCATGTTTGTGATGAAATTGCAATAAGTAGGTACAGTATAAATGGATGCCTTATAATGATACTTTATCGAAATGCAATGACATATTAATTTATTAACACTTTCCCTGCCATTGAAGGAAATTTCCGTCATGTATGATGGAATCTGGCCCCAGGTGTAAATGCTAATCTGTCTCTCACATCTTTTAATTGAATTTCTCTAGATGTTACAGCAGGTGTAAATGAAGCGAAAGATATCAGGAGTTGTAGTAGACGGAGAACTATAAGCCAAGACTTAGATCAAGATGCCAAGACCACAAGATCAAGACACCAACTCTGAGATGGCACTGATCCAGGTGACTAGTGTTAAATCCTTACTGCTTCTTAACCAATTCTGTCACTTTTTTTGTCTAACATGTTTCACAAGAGTGATGACAATTAACCTCACTGCACACCAAAGCTAATTAGAATTTGTGAAGGTCAAAGTCTCCCCTACTACTTCTTAGCCTTTAGCTATGAAGTGACACACTTGACGGTCACAGCAGCAGAAATCTGTGACGTAAAAAAAATAGATTGAAAGAGACAACCAGACTGGCGGTCTTTTGAACCTCCTCTTTCCTATAAACTCCATATATGACCCCATTAGGAGTGTCACACAGCACTTCCTTTCACATTAAACCATGATGTGTTGAACAATAGAGACCTCGACGGGAGAGCACAGTCTAGTTTATTCTTTCCTGCCTTTTTCGTGGCATGTTTATTATCACAGCTGTTTACACACGTGCATGTGTGACCATCAGATCTTGTCGTTTGGGCGTAGGAGCACACGTCACAAACTGCTCCTCCCGTGCCTGGGCTAAGCACAAAGCTTCCTGAGATGAAGAAGAAATCTTTTTATGTCACTTTTGTGGAGATTTTACTACGCAAAACAGAGAAAGTAAATACAGTATTTTGGCTTGGTGTCACGTCCAGGACACAGTCACTCTGAAATGAAAGAGTAACTACGCCTTTGAAAGTCACAGAGAGGAATTGGGGGGAATGGTTTGTTTTACGGTTTGAGTCTGCTAATACGTGGAGCGGAACATTTTCTAGTTTTATGAGGGAAAAAACTGTAGTGAAATGATTGCTTCAGTTTATTCTCACTTGGAAAATATGGCTCAAAAGATTGTCACCTTTGCTCTTCGGTCCCTGGTCTTCTTGTTTAGAATGAGAGACAATGAAGGCTCTTAAACTTAATGTCAATTTATTCATTCTGTAGAATATTGGGTACAATTGAGATGCTTCTCTCTGAGATGCTAAGTATGAAAACGAAAAAAGAATGGGTTTTAGGGTTGTGCAACATTCTAAAATTAATTTAGCCTGGTTAAAACCAGACCATTCTCAGTTGTAACTGAGTTATGGTCTGGCAAAGCGTCATAGACAAATCATTTCCAGAGGAGCGTCACCAACGGACGTCGCGGATAGACCTAAAACCAATCAGAGCGATGAAGGAGATGACGTATGCAGAGCGGCGGAGGAACATCTCCGAGTGTTGTTCTTTGGTCGGTTTTTAACTAAAAGGAAACGTTCAAAACGCTTAAAACAGACGCGATAGCTGATTCGAACGAGTGATGTTCGACGGCGGCATCCATCTTTGTAATGTAGGCTACAAAATCTGCTTCAAAATCCCAGCGCTGTCGTCATCGTGTAAAGCCCGCCCCAACGTTTCTGATTGGTGCCTCGATTTCGACGGATTGGAAATGGGCTTGAATGAGCTCTTTGCCAGACTAACTTTCAGAGCAAATCTAAATTTGCCGGAAGTTGTCTGGGTTTTCCCAGGCTAAAATGAATTTATAATTCCCTTAAAATTCCAATTAGTTCTTGATTTAAACATTTGAATTGGGTGTAGAAATATAATTAGAATTAAGGAAGTAGAATTACAAAGAAATCGTGACTGCTGTAAGATAAGTTTTTTAAATATATATATATATATATATATATATGTATCATTTTTTTTTAATATGAATTACTCACAGTATTATCAAATTGTATCTGAAAACGGTGTGTTGAATAATTGAATTAAAAACTTTTTGATCTTTGTTTATAGAAATATTTAGTGACATATCAGGGAATAAGTTCTTCTAGATAGACACAGACAGACATGAGTATATAGACATACATTTATAGATGGATATCTTTTTGCTTCCATTTTTCATCTCATGTAGCTTATAGTATTGCAAATGATTCTAAGAAATTTCACTACCTTGAACCACATGACAACATGACTTAGCATTTTATGCAATCTTTCTCACAGATGTCAAGTGATTAACATTGTAAACAACTGTTGTGCTCAAAGGAAAGGATTTGACCCTTAGGAAACTGTGAGTGTGTGATGGTTTTTGTGCGTGTCACGTCTCATGTGCAGCTACAAACGCTCATCCTTATCCTTCAATCGGGTCATGGAACAAAACACAATGACTGACAATAAGTTACATGAATCAGACCTAATTATACATTAGCATGTAGAAAGTATAATAGCGTGGCCTATTATGGGTGTTTGTTGACATTGGGTACATTGACACGATCAACAAACAACATGCTATCTCAATGACTCCATATTGAAACCTGCATCCTCCAAAGGAGACCTCAACAGAGTTCTAAATGGGTGGCTTAAACAAAGAACAAGGAGGAGGAGAGCAGGGACACAAGTGGGCATGGTGGCAGACATCAAGGAGCCAATAGAAACCTATTTTGAGTTTTCTGTAGACATTGGGGGCCAATAAGAGCTGGTTTCAACTCAGTTAGACACAGTTTCACAAGGCTGACCATATCACAGGCCTATAGCACTTTCAGCAGTTCATTTTCAACCACTGTGTTTTTCCTCTGGATTATTCACATAACTAGAGACTTGCCTTGACCCAGTGTGGTCCCTTAAAATGCTGCTTGCCGTCACAGTGGAATAGAAGAGTACTTTGGACTATTTTATGCAGAGAATTTATAGACTGTGCCAGAAAGGTAGGAGCACTTTTGTGTGGAATGTGTGATTCTAAGCTTGAATGCGCTAAAATGTCTAGCCTGACGGCGTGTCAAGGACCCGTTTTACCTGTAAAGTGATTCATTTCATTCTCACTTCTTTTTAAACCATACAGCACTTCAGCTGAAAGGAGCGATATGCTCTGCCAACATGATCAAACTGTCAGATGGTCCAAATTCAAAGTGAACAGCCTAGTGATGTAATAATGGCTAAATCCAAATACATTTTGTAACAATTTAATAAAAAATTGTATCAATGACGAGATGTTAAGAGTGCTTGTATGAATTCAGATAATTCTGCCACATTTGAAACGGTTTACCTTAAAAATTACTATACGCCACTCTGGAATACTAGATTCTGATTGGTCTGTCATTCTGGAGGCAAATATATTTGTATATGTAATAAACTATATTTTGAAATGTATCACAATTCAAAACTTTAATTCGTAACAATATTTCACAGTATTACTGTTTTTACTGCATTTTTTTGTCAAATAAAACATGTTTACACCTGGTACTAAGATGCATTTTGGTCGATCTGATCACAAGTGGACGACACTAAATACAAGTGTAAACGGGGTCTAAAACATTTTGAGGTAGTCAAAAAGGCATTCGACCGGATTGCTTTCGTATAGTGTAAATGCTCATGTGGTCGAATGCGTTCGAACAGCAGCAAAAGATGCATAGTCTTTGCCTACTGACCTAATGTTAAACATTATGGGAAGCACGCTAGCCAGACAGGATTTAAACTTTGTCGGCTGTTGACTCAAGTTTGGTTTGAAGATGAGAAACGTACCAAGCAATGCCCTCTCACCATTCCTGAATAAAAATAAAAAAAAATAAAAAAAACATACATTTACCCAACCTCCCCTCAAAGAAATCAGGACAGAAGTGGTTAAAAGAGGACAAAAGTGACAGATTGACCAAACCACATCTTAATACCAGGTGTAAACAGGGCCTAGGAGACTTTAAAAAACATTACAAAAATCGTACCGATCCCATACTTGAAAGGTAGTATAATTTCATGTTCATTTGTTTGGTAAGTAGCCATGTAATATGGAGGAGAACGTACAGCCAGCCAGTCATTATCACAAAATAAACCTCTTCAGGGTGATGCAAGACCCTCTTTGCATTGGGGTCCCGATTGTCTTGTCTGGGTTTGTTTTGTGATAATGACTGCACATTGTTGTTTTAATGAGAAAGTTGTTATTAAAAAACTATCTAGCAGCTAATGGCAGGGTGCCCTGATGCCTCAAGATCATGTTGTCTGGGCTAGCAAAACAAATCCAAGAGCACATGTAGAGGCTTAAATGCCAATGGGGGAAACAACCTGATATTGGTATACGATGCCTCTCTCTGACATAAACCTCTGATCCTCCTTAAATAATGTAAGTCACATTTCCATTTTGGAGGGAATGTTCGCTTTAAAAGCATCCTGCTGTGGCTTTACAAATACTGGTTGCACTCAGGTCGGCTTTGAGGCTTTAATATGTAAAGTCACCACGAGTATGTACCATCTACGTTTCCTTTGAACGGTTTTCTCCCACATGTATGCACAATGATTTCTTGGAGCTTTTGGGTGTGATTCATGTTTATTGATGTGTGATGCTTTGAAGTTTTAGGTTTACCTTTAGAGGACTAGTTGTGCAGAAAATGTTGTATTTCCTGCCCATGAATTGAAGTATTAGAGGTGCTATAGCATGACTATTACTCATGCTCTGTGTTAGGGATTTGAAGAAACCCCCAACATAAGGTGTTTAACTTCAGCACGTAACTCATCCCACAGCGCTTGTGCCTCAAACACGAATGATACCTCAAATGATGCGGTTGAGGAGCTTTTCTGACTTTAGACTCACGTTTCTCACCTTTTAGATAAATGGATGAGAAAATCCTATAGAATTACATTGAATGAGCGACCTAAGCCATATAGAGACCAGAAAACCCATAGCAATACACTAAAAACACTATAAATATAAAAAAAAAAAAAATTATGTATGTAGTTGAATGTATATTGTTCAAAAGTTTGGAGTCAGTAGTTTATTTTCCCTCAGCATTTGTATTCAACATATATTCAGCAAATGTATCATTGTTTCCACCAAAATATTAAGCAGCACAACTGTTTTTAGTATTGATAGTAATAAGAAATGTTTCTTGAGCCTCAAATCAGCATATTAGAATGATATTTGAAGGATCATATGACACTGAAGACTGGAGTAATGATGCGGAAAATTCAGCTTTGCCATCACAGAAATATATTGCATTTGAAAAAGCATATTAAAATAGAAAACAATAGTTATTTTAGAAAAAAAAAAGAAAAAAGTTATTTTAAATTGTAATGATATTTCTCAATATTACTGTTTTTACTGTTTTTTTTATCAAATAAATGCTGCCTTAATGAGCATAAGACACTACTTTCAAAAATATTTTTAAAAATGACTGAGCCCGAACTTAGTTTTTTTTTTAGTTATTTAAATATGCAGTCAAAATCCATGTTTCTAAGGCTCATTATGAAAACATTTGTTTTAATGACCTAATTGTTTGACCTTGAACTCTTTTTCACTGACCCTTTTCTTTATTTCTTTAGAGAGAGAGAGAGCTTTGTAAACACCTGGAGCTATGGCACCTGCTGTTGGAGGTCCTGTGGGCTACACCCCTCCTGAGGGGGGCTGGGGTTGGGCCGTGGTGGTTGGCGCCTTTATTTCTATTGGTTTCTCCTACGCCTTCCCAAAGTCCATCACTGTGTTCTTCAAGGAAATTGAAGTGATCTTTGATGTCAATAGCAGTCAAGTGTCCTGGATCTCTTCCATCATGCTTGCTGTCATGTATGGAGGAGGTAAGCGGTGTCTTCCTGCTCTTTATCCTTTTGTCTTCCACTCAAAACTCTCAAAAACTCTAAATATCATAAAAAAGTTGTTTGTGAATTCATAATGGTTTAATTTCGTACAAGACGTTTGCACTTATTTAAATCCGAGTTGCTTAATACAGTAATAATGTCCATGAGTCACTGTAAATAATGCTGTTTTATTGTCCATTCAAACCAGTGGTGAGATCATGGCACAGGTAATGAAGGCACAGTTTATCAATGGATATTGCGTGAGTGAAAGACCCTTATTCATTTGAATGTAGAAATGAGAGTCATGCTAGACAAGGCTTAGACATCAGCCACCGGCTTCTTTGCTGAGAGATTGAGCTATGAATGGGCAACTCTATCTCCCTCTGGAGTCTTTCTTCTCAGTCAGCTCTTTATTCTGCAAGTGTCAGATGTTTTCCTTGGAGAGAGATGAGGAGATGAGACGCCTAACTCAGGAGTCACACAGACTTGTGATGACTAGCGTCAATAGCAAACTTGTCTCAGGAAGTGGAGCACCACCAAATGATGTCAGCACACTCACATAGGCAGACTAAATTGCACCTTCTCCTTCTCACGCTACTGAGCAGATCAAAAATGAGTTTAAAAAATATCAACCATTACAGATAATATGAAAAAAAGGTTTGAATGTTTCTGACAGTATGAAGCTAGTTTTTAGTTATAAGTCAAAGTTTTATTGCAAAAGCCAATTATACGATCAGTATGGCTTGTGTGCATGCTTTCACACAACCTTTAAAAGAGGCAAAAATAAATACTATTTTAAAAAATATTTCCTTATCCTCGTGTCGTTCCAAACCTGTGCAACTCTCTGTTCTCTGTGGAACACAAACCAGATGTCAAGATGTTTTGAAGAATGTTAAAACTCTTCTTTTCCATGCAGGGCAAGCATACAGTGAAGTAATGTAAAGCTCGTTGAGTCGTTGTCCATCATTTTGCGAGCAGTTGTTGATAAAGAAAAATGTCACGTCACAATATTGGAAATATTTCCGTTTTAAATAACGAAGGCGAACCAGTCAATATCACACAAGCAATGTGCAAACTTTGCGCTATAGTTATGCTGGTGAAGAAGTCTCAAACCTAAAAGTTGGTTTTGATTAGGAGAAAGCTAATCTAGCATCTTATCATTGCAGAGCAACAGTTATGCGGTGATGCACTATGAAATGATTGCGGGGCAAATAAATTGTAATATTAATTTAATATTAAAAGTAGCCTAATAATGATAATAATTCAGATCATCGCAGGCTGGACTTCAGATTATCATCATTTTTTATTATTATTATTGTTAGTTCTGATACATTGGGATTTTCCTTTCTTTGAAAAGATTTTTCCTTTTTTTTTTATTGTGGACACTCAATCTGTATTTCACTGTCCCACATACTTCCGTCAAACTTGAGCTTTTGCCCTCACATTTGTCTTGAGAAAGAATAAGGTGGTCGATCTGGATGTGTTTTTGAAACACAGACCTTTCGGTTTATGTCAGTGGGGTTGACATTATGGCCAGGAGAACTCGTGGCATGTGGAAGCACATGACTTTACATTTGACCTCATACTCCTACACTGCCCCTTCTGGCCCAGCTGACCTAATTCCCAACTGGGGGCAATACAGAGCACATGACCCAGATGATCAAAGAACCAAGCACTCGTGAAAAAATCCAAGCGTTTTGTTCTGAACACAATGATGTACTGAATCGTAGTGCTATGGTTTGTACTAACATATTTGCAGGCAAGACATAACTGTGTGAATATTTTATGCTGACTTATGCACATCAGAAGTCTGTGTAGCAATATTCCATATTCCCAATAGTTCACATGCTCGCAAATAAATCAGAATGGCATTGTTTTAGCATCTAGTTTTACGCTGTCCATGACTGACATGTGTTGTGGTCCCCTTTTTGCTGTCATTTCCCTTTCTATCTATCTTCTGATGCCCCCTCTGCCTCTTTATGAATTCATCCACTGTCTCACCCACCCTTTGCAAAGAAGTCTGAATGCCCTCTAAGCTAAATACTGTCAGAAGGTGTTTGTTTATTTTCCAGGGATGTGTTGTTTTGGCATTCTAGGCCAAGACATCTTCCTACATAGACCTCTAGTGCTTTTAAGCTTGTTGTCGTGACCCAGGCAGCCTAGAGGTAGTTCGCCTGGAGCAAGAGAGGTCCAGATATGAGAATATTTACATGAATGCAGACTGATCTGATATGTCAGGAGGACTAGGTTTTTATTTAATGTCACCCAAGGGCTTAGTCAGTGAATATTCTAATTTAAAATCACTCTGTCAGTACCACATTTAAAGTCATGTTAATATAAATTAATTTGATGTACTGTGGTTTTAATACCAAATCTGCACAAAAGAAAGAGCACAGAATGTAGTAATGCTACAAATTACCCTGAAATAGTTATGCTAAACTGTGCCGTTTCACAAAATAATGACTGTTTTCATACAGGTTTCCTGATGACTCCACTTGTCTGCCATTGGTTGGTCAAATAGCCGGTCTTTTGCAAGCATTCAAGCTCATTTGTGAGGAGTGTTCATTCACATTTATCTAGGACTGCACAATTAATGATTATCATGGTATGGCTAAGTGCAAATATCAAATCTCAAAAGGCTGCAATTTGGAAACAAATATATGCGATGCGTGTTTCAGAGTGAAGCGTAGCACTGTGTTCTTTTACACGCAAGCAGCTCATTATCTGCCTGTGTTTGCAGCATCTCAGAGTTGCTTGGTTTGCAGTAAATGCTGTTCCACACAAACTCAATCTCTGCTGTGAGATAGGGTTGCTTATAACGTGCCTTTTGGAAGCAATATGTGCAAGCCATCTTTCCATACTTGTAATAAGATGCGCTTATCAACTAAAGAGAAGCTTTAAGGGCTTACCTGTCAAAATACAGGTTTGATGGTATAACGTTTAAAAATGATTATTATTATAACCATATGATATTTAATCACAACTTTTTGGCCAAATTATACAGCCCTACGAACAAGCACAGCAAACAGAATGTTTTATTTAAATTGCAATCGATATTTTATCAGAAAAAAACAAGTCAGTCTATTGTACTGGGAGGCTGAAGACGTGCTCGCCATCCCTCCCCGGTTTTCACATGATTAGGTGGCTTCCTTCCTACATTCATGATAGGATTTGGCATCTGTACATGGAAGACTTAAAACACGCACGTAGCTACTAATACCTTTGGGATCACTGTGTTTGCAGTATCAGAACACATTAGTTTGGATTGGCGCTTGCCATCACTCCCTGGTTTTCACATTTTGGCCAAATTATACAGCCCTACGAACAAGCACAGCAAACAATGCATTTTTTATTCAAATTGCAATTTTTATCAGAAAATCGCAGTTACATTTTCCCCACAAATCGTGCAGCCCTACATGTATATAGCCTACTTCTCTCATATTTCTTATAGAGTGGGAATGTTCAAATTTGGTTAAACTACTGGTATTATAGTTGTTGTGGGGTAAACCAGGGATGTAACCTGACACTAATGAATTTCCGCATTTATAAATGTGTTCATGTTTTCTTTCGTACATGTTCGCACACAGTGACTCGCTCCCCCACTGTATGATGTGGATTAGAGAGGCAAACAAGGCAGTCTATTGTACTGGAAGGCTGAAGACGTGCAGGCGCTCGCCATCCCTCCCCGGTTTTCACATGATTAACAGGCTTCCTTCCTACATTCATGATAGGATTTGGACTCTGTACATGAAATGCTTAAAACACTCACGTAACTGCTAATATTTTTGTAATCACTGTGTTTGCTATTGCAGGGGAGTATATCAGAACACTTTAGTTTGGTTTGTTTGGGCTAAAGTTTGCCATAGGAGTGAAACATATCTGAATTATGATTTAGTAGAGCATGTCTTCCAGCCACTGCATTTCACAGGTAACATCTTTTCCTCAGTTAACTGGATGATGGTGAGAAACAGCAAAATCTGCAGTTTGATGATTACTGCAGTAATATGCAATGTCAAATTCTATTGTTCTTCCTCACAGAGCTGCAATGCCCTCTAGTGGTCTGAACAGAGACTATCAACTTTCACCATGAAATCAAAATATTTATTTATCCTTTTTCATTTTGAGTATACATTGCTGATGTTATTGTGAACAGTTAATCTATGCATAAAAGAAAATAGATGTACATCTTTGTAATCTTTCATCATAATGTAATAACTTGCTCCTATTCTAAAACATCGTTCCTTTGATAGGCCAAGCCATCTTTTTTTTTTTTTTTTTTTTTTAATCCCATCAAATCCCAATGGATAAAATCAAATCATGGGTTATATTTTCACTCTCTCTTGTTGAGTTTCCTGATAACTTGGAATTGGCTGTTTATTGAACCATTGTTCTTTTTTAGTTTGTAGCTTGATTTTTCTTTACCACATATCTTATACTTATTCTCAAGCATACGTTTCAACAGCCCCGTTATCTTCTTGGTAACCAAGTACACTAACTTTTGATAAAGCTTTACTTCAAAACAATCCTCATTTAATCTAAAAATCTCTTCTTTTTTTAAATTCACACAAATATTGCAGTGGCGTATTTTATCATTCTTTGTTTAGTTCATTGTATTTTAAAATGTTATACTGTCTTAGATTATATTTAAAGATTGTATTTAAAGTATAATCTTACTGACTTTGAAGATCATTTTCAGAAATAACATTTAAAATTGTCTTAAAATAGGAAATAAAATCTCTTTCTGCTTTCAAATTTAAAAAAAATATATATATTGAATGTGCAATAATGTTTTTGTTTTTATTTATTTTTGTGTGCGTGTGTGTGCAGAATCTGACAGCTTGTATTTCCACTTTTTGTTCCCAGGTCCTGTCAGCAGTATCCTGGTCAATAAGTATGGAAGTCGGTCCGTTATGATTTTAGGAGGCTGTCTCTCAGGAGCAGGGCTCGTCGCTGCCTCTTTCTGCAATACTCTTGAGGGCTTGTACTTCTGTGTTGGTGTTTTAGGAGGTATAAATAAAATCAAATATTTTATTGTATTTTTTAAAATGGTCAAACGTTATTTTAGGTTTCCTGAACTAGTTACATCAAAAAATTAGTAAAATGTACTTATTGTATTCATATCATATCGCAATACACTTTTGCTGCTATATTGAGGTAGGATACCGGAAAGGTTAGGGACAGGTTTGGTGGTGTGGTAAGGCAGCTGTAATTATATGCAGTTTATATATATATATATAAGTACAATGTAAAACCATGTATGTGCTCTATAAGTGTAATGTATCAAATTATTAATTTAAATGTAGGACTGACATATTAGTTAAAGACATATATAGTGGGACCTTTTAAACATAAATCGTTGCACTTATCCCATGACATTTGTAGTAATGGCACTCCTGTTGATGGCACACTCCTGTGACACATTTTAATATCACCCTGGGCAGTTTTCTTTTTTTAACTGTTATGATGTTTTCCAGGTCTGGGACTGGCATTCAATCTCAACCCAGCTCTCACAATGATCGGAAAATACTTCTACAAAAGACGCCCGATAGCTAATGGTATCGCTATGGCTGGTAGCCCAGTCTTCTTGTCTACTCTGGCTCCTTTAAACACTTGGTTCTTTGAATATTTCGGCTGGAGAGGGAGCTTCTTGATTCTGGGTGGACTTCTGCTCAATTGTTGTGTAGCTGGATCACTGATGAGGCCAATTGGGCCAAAACCCCAACCTGCTGTTAAAGCTGCTAATAGTAACAACAGAGCTAGAGAGCAAAAGACCATGATAGAGATCATCAATGGCTTTATCGATCTGACACTCTTCAAGCATCGTGGCTTCTTGCTTTACCTATTGGGTAATGTGGTCATGTTCTTCGGCCTCTTCACTCCTCTTGTGTACCTCAGTAATTACGCCAAGAGTAAAGAAATTCCCAAGGAGAACGCAGCTTTTCTGCTCTCTGTCCTGGCCTTTGTAGATATGGTTGCACGGCCTTCAATGGGAATGGTCGCCAACATGAAATGGGTGAGACCAAGAGTGCAGTACTTCTTCGCCGCAGCTATTTTCCTTAATGGTGTGTGCCACCTGCTTGCCCCTCTGTCCACAGACTACTTAGGGTTTGTGATTTACTCTATTTTCTTTGGGTTTGCCTATGGCTGGCTGAGCTCAGTGCTGTTTGAGACTCTCATGGATCTCGTAGGGGCTCAACGTTTCTCCAGTGCTGTGGGACTGGTGACGATTGTGGAATGTGGGCCAGTGTTACTGGGGCCTCCTCTACTAGGTGAGTATGGAGTGTGTTTACGTCTCATATTCAGGCAAATCAAATGGTTTACTTTATCATACATGCTTGTTTTATGACCTCATATTAATTGGGAGACTAATTTGTATAAGTACAAACATGATATGTAATTTGTCACACAGCAGAAGCATTTAAATTGCCCCATTATGCTTTTTTCGGATAATACCTTTCATGTAGTGTGTAATATACTGTAGGTGTTTGTGAATGTAAAATGTCTGCAAAGTTTTAAAACATCGCAGTGAATGACAAAAGGAGTTATTGTCTCCCACAAGAAAGTACCGATTCTGAACTGAATCTGATTCTGAAACAAATCTTCAGTAATTCCAGCCTTCATACTCGAATCTATGTAGGTTTGTAAAAGATTTGCACAATGCCTGCCTATGATCTTCATTGGATGCCCATGAACAAGGGCGCCATCATTTCATTTCATATGACTGTGTATCAAGTGCTGAGGAAATCTCTGGAGCTGAAATTCAGATATGGTAATGTGTGTTCCGTTTCCGACATCTGACCAATCAGAGCAGAGTAGGATCTCTAAAAGGCGGTTTTAGAGGGACCCAATCATTGATCGAACCATTTCAGACACTGTGAGGTGGTACTGCAATGTATATTATGAGAAAACTAAAGTGCTGCTTTCTTTTTTTTACTGTGAATTCATGTACAACCTTAAACAAAACAAAATTAGGAACTTTTAAAATTGCACAATAGGTACGCTTTAAAACGAACCAGTGAAGGCAAAGGGTAGTTAAAATGTTTTGTTTTTTACTAAGAAATTACCAGTCAAATGAAATGACCTAAGAAATTAATTTGGTAACGCTTTAGATTACAATGACCTAAGAAATTAATTTGGTAACGCTTTAGATTACAGCCCGGAAAGTACTGTGTAATTAAGAGGAATTTACAGAGTAACTTTCGGTAATTATAGTGTACCTATAAAGTACTTACATTTAAGTATAAGGGGACAATATGTAAAGTTTGGGGAATAAAGGGGTAACAACCAGGAGAATTAAAAAAATATTTATACTCTAAGTATTATAGAACTAAGGGGTACTTATTCTACTATTATGAACAATCTTACATTTGGGAGCAATTTAGCGAGAACATACACTGCGTACCTTTTTGTAATAATTGTGTACCAATACATACTGCATAGGCTTTTTTTAAATCACAGGGTACATATCTTTGTTTATTTTTTATCGCAAAAGTGCAGATGTTTAAGTTTGGCTTACATGTTTCAAGGCAAGAAAAGCTAAGACTAATGCAATTTTTTTTAAATACTGGGAAATATATCTTGTTTCATGTGGTTACAGGGTAAGTGGTGCTTGTATAATAAGTAAAGGTTTTCGAGTCAGTGATATAAGATTGTGTGTATGCATTTGTATTGTACTTACCCTGTAACTACATGAAACAAGAGGGTAACAAGCACCACTACATGAAACAAAAGTCTTTCCCCAAAATTTAAGCAAAAGTTGCATTAGTTTTCGTTTTCAGTGCACTTTTGTTAAAAAGATTACTTTATAAATGCATAGATATGTACCCTGTAATTTTTATAAAGCCTATACAGTATGTACTGGTTCACCATTATTTCAAAAAGGTATGTTCTTGCTAAATTGCTCCCAAATGTAAGATTGTTATATCATAATAGTAGAATAAGTACCCCTTAGTTCTATAATACTTATATATAAATAATTTTTTAATTCTCCTGGTTGTTACTCCTTTATTCCCCAAACTTAAAATATTGTTCCCTTATACTTATATTGTAAGTATGTTATAGGTACACTGTAATTACCAAAGGTTACGCTGTAAAATTGCTTTAATTACGCAGTACTTTCCGGGCTGTAATCTAAAGCGTTACCATTAAATTTCCCTAATACATTCAGGTTAATATTAACCTGAAATCCTGGTGTTCATTAAAAAAAAAAAAGAAAGAAAAAGTATTACCTAAATTTTAATCACTTATATCACATTTTGTTGATAATGGTGGGTTGATGGATCCCACTTGGATCACTGACCTTTTTTTTTATATGACAATTGTCTACACTCACAGGGAAGTTCAACGACATCTACCATGACTACAAGTATACTTACATGGCCTGTGGATTTGTCCTGCTGGTTGGCAGTTTGTTTCTCTTCATCGGAATGGGCATCAACTACAGACTGCTGCATAGAGAGGCAAAAGAGGAATCCAAAAGAGCCAATCTGCAGGAGGAACCTGGCAAAGTTGAAGATGCACTGAAAGCACCCAATAACAACACTGCAGAGTATGGTGTGTGACACTGGCTGATTTGTGTGATTCTGGGTGATCCTTTCATTTATACACTCTCCACATTGAAGATTTAGTTACAGACATCCATCTTTGGCCTATTCAGATTACTGAGACAGTGATGCAAACATTTCAGTGCCTTGCATGAGTGCACACTGCACAGTAATGCAAATTATATTTTTAATTTTATTTTTAGAATTTAACTTCAGTTTAAAAACGTTTGCTTAACATTTACTGTAGGACAAGAATTGTGGCACGTCTATTTTGGGGTGTTTTATGTACGCAGTGAGTGAAAGATTAAATCAGTGATGAAAGGAATTCATTTCAAGAAACAAACGTTGCCTTCTAACAAAAAAGTCACTGGAGTAATAAAAAAGCAGTAGATATACAAATAGTGTATGTTGTTAAATATATGCACAAATGAAACATAACTTGGTAAATATTTTCAGTTAATGCATTTTGTCAGTATCCATGCACACTTGCCAATGACTGTTATTTTGTGTATTCTTATGTGTATGTGCATAGCAATGTAGTGATGAAAGATTGTTTGCTTGTTTAAAACTATTTAAGTCCAACCACTATTTGTGTAGGCTATAGCCTAAAAGGTAAAATTGTTCTTGAAATGTAAAATAATTTACTATCAGAGACAATGTAAATAATTTGTATTGCAAAACTGTTATAATAAAAAAAAATTTAAATAAGAATATTGTTTCATATCACCTTTCAAGTGCTGGGTGTTAACTTCTGTGTTCTGTTGAGATTTACAATGATGTAAATCTTATTTTTTCTCGTTTACTTCTTTTGCAAAATGTTTATCTGACCTAAAGTCAAAGCCCATTTGATATTAGCCTACCCTTTGTTGGATGCACCTTTCATAAATGTGACAGGAGGTATCCACAATAAAATGTTCAGTTGTGCTTTTTGGAAATAATTGGATTTTCGAAAAAAAATACAATAAAAGAAGAAATAAACAACTGGCAGAAGTTTATCTCTAGACCAATCAGAAAACGTCAGCATGAGAATTCAATGCGTTATGTTACCTTGGGTCTCTGAGGCGCCGAAATGTTTGAAGTATTTGCAAGCTTCAAAAATACCTTTGAAGCATGCCATAAAGGCTAAAACTGTTAAAAAGGTTTTGTAATATTTTGGAAGTTATGACTAATATGGGGCAACCGTGTTCATTTCAGCTACTGCTGTTGCTTAAAGTGAATCTCATCGCGTGCCTGGAGCAGCGGCGCGCAAACCATTTCAAAATCGGCGTCACGCGAGTCAAACAACTGACGTCAGGTAAAAACCGTTGGTTAACGGAGTCGTATCAATCATAAAAACAGTTCAGAAAGAGTTCGTGTGAATTGTTTAAAGGTAAAATGTTTTTAAATTACGTTTAATTACGTAAACATAGTTTATAAGAGTGGAAGAGTAACGAAAAATTGATCACTTGGATCATTTGTAGGCTAAGGAATAACTTATAGCTTACCGTTTTTACGTCAACTGTCTAACGTTAAACATTTTCGACTTACTTTCTCAGCTAGCAAGTAACTTAACCGTTCATGTTATCTCAAAGGGGGAAAGCCCTGAACAATAAAACTATTCGGTATACAGTTCTGATGATTTTTTCAAGTGCTGTTATTTCGTTTGACTCCACAGCATGCAAAAACCATTCAACTTCAAACTGTTGGTGCCCCCAAGAGCTCATTTGAATCAAGTGTATGCAGTGAAGCCTCAGGAAACAGGCTTTGAAGAAAACGGGGTTTTTTCTCCTTCTGATCAGGTTGGCAAACTTGTAAATTCTCTGTTTGTGCTAACGTTACGTTACAATGTTGCTATTTGACCTATGGCCGGCTGCTAAAACTGCTGTGTGAACTTTTAATGAATTAGAATGACAGGCTAGCTGCTAACGTTACATGTATTTTGTTTGTAGAGTTACAAGTGTTCAGATATGGAGACAAGCCTTCCATTTCCATCCAAAATGGTGCTTCCTACGAAGGCATCCAGACCAGGTAACATTTATAAAGTCTAAAATGTAGAGGTGTAACTTTACGTTAATATTTATGAATAAAATGTATAGGTTTTAATGTGTCAATTCCAGTCTTAAAAGCAACATGTTCATTAAACCTAATACTTTGTGATTAAAGAGGGTATGAAGAAGGTTGCAGTCATGCCAATGGAAAAGGATGAGGTCAGATTGAATGCTCATTTCATTTTGTATTTTAGTTTATTGCTTTAAGATTAATCATTCATATATTTGTATACTATATAATGAGGTTCATGTTCTGAATTCCGTAAAATGCATAATGAAAATAAATCCAAGCAGTTTAATTACTATGGTGCTTTTGCATTATAGACATCATTAAGATCCAGCCAGCTGTACTCCAGATTGCTGGATGAAGCTGAGAAAATTAAAATGTGGAAGTTCAATGTAGATTCTGAGATTTCACAAAAAGACAGGAAGCTTCAGGAGAACAGAAAAACCATTGACACGCAGCGCAAAGCCATTCAAGAGCTTCAGGTAAATAATTTGTGGGAAGTACATTTGTTTTACTTTTTTATTTGTATTTTTTGTCTCCTTTACTAAAGACAGAATTATGTCTGTTGCAGTTTGCAAATGAAACTCTGAGCATGAAATTAGAGGATCAACTCAATGAGAATGAAGACCTTAGAAATAAGTATGTACATCATGGGTAATATTTAAATAAGCGCATACACTACTATATTATATTATATGATATTATATTATATTATATTATATTTTTATCATGCAGAAGTAATGCTACCAGAAATTTGTGTAACATACTAAAGGACACATTTGAGAGATCTGCTGAGAAAATGAATCTGTGTAAGTGTGAGAGCATGTTAAAAGATGTCATATAGCATAACATAATGTATTAATTCATTGCCAATTATTAGAGAACAATAATGTGTTTTTAATTTTGCCTGAAATAGTTGAGGCTGAACGGGAAGAAACTCAAGATCTGTTTATACAGAACAGTGAGAATATTCAGGTAACTATATAATGGGTGTATTTACTTCTTTATCTAGTACTGGTGAAGCGTGGGGAATAGGTCCAACCCTAGATTGGGACAATTCTTTTCACGACACTGTAATTTGTTCATTTGCAGAGGATGGTGGCAGCATTTGAAAGTCTTCGAAAGCAGGCAGAGGCTGATCAGCAGGAAATGTTGACATGTGCTCATTTTTAAATAATTTGTCTAATTATTTTAAAACTTACATTCATTTTAAGCATGTACTGTATTTGACGCAACAAAATAAAACATTTTAACATTGTATTGTTAACATCCTACAGTAAGAGAATGCCTTGCACAGTTTGAGGATCTTAAAGTGAAGTTCCAGAGTGAATGCCATGTGAAGGAGAAGGAGGTTAGTCTTTATTTTGAAACTTTTAATGCATACTGTAACACTCACCTGTCTTTGTGTTCATGTGTTGACTAAAACGCATATCTATTTTGTGTTCCTTGCTTTGACTTATTGAGGTTGCCATGCTTCAAGAAAAACTCCAAGATAAAGAAAACAATCTCAAAGATTTTTCAGTAAAACTCCAAGAGGCAAAGCAAAGCTGCAGTCTGCTAGAGGAGTCTGCAAGTAAGAATGCAAGACACATTGCATAAGTCTTTCCTTAATTTTTCCACAAGTCATGTATGTTCACTCATGTTGCTTTTAGGGAAACATCAGAAATTACTTCAGAATGTTACACAGGATCGGGCGGTGCTTGAGGAAAAACTCAAGGTGACGGAGCAACTCAAATGGGAGATTGAGGTTTGTCCTTAAACAAGGTCTTACTCTTAATGCAATTGTTTTGGACTTATTTGTAAAGGTAGTACATAAAGGTTAAAGAAATTCACGGTATTGTTTTGCAGTTTTTTTTTATTGTATTGTATTGTATCGCTTTCCCAAGGAAAACCAGAGAGCCTTAACTGATAAACTGGAGCAAAGCAAGGAGAACCATGAGAAAGTTCTACAAAAGAAAGACACTGAACTAGAGGAACTAAACAACATCAAAGAGCAACAGTCAAACCAACTTGCAGAGATGCAGCTGACAGTGAATTCTTTGCAGTCCTCACTAACTTCTGAGATACAGAGGTACTTCATAGTATATTATTTCAAGATCTAGCATAATTAGGGATGGATATCATTAAAAAAAATTCGATTTCGATACCGGTTCCTGAACGATACTTTTCTTCCATACCAATTTTATGAAATCTGTTTTAACAAGATTACATTAAAAAAACTTTGGTTTTATTTTTTCAGTTTGCTGACTTTTTTTTTTTTTTTTTTTACATACTCAGACTCATATAGGCCACTAAGGGGCCAAATATATGCCTCGCGCACAAGCTTGCCACAAAGCACTGGCAAAAGCAGCCTAATGTTTATGAATGTGTCGGGGGGGAAATAGCAAGGAGACATTTTAAATGTTTATTAATAAACTAGAGTTTTCTGAGACTGTGTTGACTGCAAAGATGAAGTTGACGTTGCTGACTCGTCATCTCCGCAGTATCGTGAACACGCACGCTCCTGTAGAGAGAAATGCACCTTTCATTTGGATTGAATAATCAGAGTATTTGTTTTCGATTCGAATTGGTTCGTTTAAAAGTAGACATTTCAAGCTGATAGCACAGGTGGAAATGAAGTACAATATTAAACCAAGAACTTTAATAATTAATTGTAATCCATATTGAAATGATTCCTTTGTTTTCACAGGGTACAAGACCTTGAGACAAAGATAACCTCAGTGGGGAATGAACTCAGTGTCAAAAGCGCAGAATTGGGTGTGTTAAGTTTGTAAATGTTAATAAATAATGGCACAGTTGCATGCTTTGTACCATTCTAAGATTATTGGTTGCATTATCTTCATGCAGAAGTTATCAAGGGGCAGAAAGAGGACCATAGCAAGCAAATACAGATACTTCAAGATGAGCTGGTATGTATTTCTGTTTAAGCATTTATATTCTATGATTTATGCATTTATGAAACTAATCTCACAGTATTTCTTTAACAGAATGAGAAGTCAAACTCACTCTGCTCTATAAAGGAAAAATTAAAGACAAGTGAGGTTCAGATGCTCCAGCTTATTGCTTCACTTGAAGAGAAACAAAGTGAGGCAAATCATTTGAAAGTGAGTAGAAGGTCATTAAGCATTCATCGGCATAGTAAAATGCATCCTCCATAATTTCAGTGCTACATGTGCTTCATATTTAACATTCACCCCTCTCAGGATGCAGCGGAGAGTGTCACCACAGAAAAGAAAAACATGATGGAGGCCCTGACAAAAGCTAGACATGATAATGAAGTGCTGCAAGAAGCTGTTGTTTTAAAAGAGGTCAAGACATTCTTCAGTTTTTGTGCATTTGTGACATATTGTTTCAGTTTTTCACTATATTACACATCATGTATATTTATTTGTTTGAGTTGAGTAATATGATGGAACATGGACAAATATTTTGGATACTCAAATATGTACATCTTTCATCCAGGCTAAATTGAAAGAGATGGAGGAACAATTGTCAGGAGCTTTGGAAAGCTGTTGTAAATCATCTAAAGAGGTAGAAAGATTGGAGAGGGACTTAAAGGAACAGAAGTAAGAGCAACCACAACCTGTCTGATTTTACACCATTAATCTTTAAATCTCAAACTAAACCTCTAATTTATTGCATACTGGTTCACATACTATACAGTTAATATTGATATGGGTAGTAATGTAAGGGAGGTAATCTATCTTTGAATTCTTTTAGCATCAAAAATGTTTTGCAAATGGATCTGTATTGCGAGTAATTAATATCGAAACAGAGATGTAGACTAAATTTCTTATGAAAAAATGAGTTAAAAATGTAATGTTCATTTAAATCTCATTAAATTAAATTTTGGCCATTTTCTATTGTATAATTGAGATCTGTACAGTATTTTATTGAACTGATTGAAGTTGTTTTTTGCTTGAAGGGATTATTACAAGGAGCTGATGTTGAAGTTTAATGATCTGCAGATGCAGAAAGACATCATTCAACAACAGGTTGATAGTGGTGCTTTAGAGAAGAAAGTCCTTCAGTCTCATCTAATGGTTTGTAAATTAAATCAAGCCTCTAAATGTTGTAAATTTACAGAATGACCTCAAATGCTGCATGTGATGGTTTGTTTGTTTATTTGTTTTTTACAGGAAAGCAATGTAAATGCCGAACGGGAGAAGACAGAAATAGAGAGACTTGAGAGAGAGAAGCAACAGCTTCAGTAAGACTGGAGGAGACTTTTGTCTTGCAACATTGCAAATTTGGTTTCATTCATAATTTTATTTTGTCTTGCATGTACAATTTCATATTCCAGGGAACAGGTGAATATTTTATCTGCAAAAATTGCTGGTCAGGATGAAGAGAGAAAGAATGCTCAGGAGCAGTTGAGAGAGAGTGTGCGTTCTTATTATTATACTGTTTTATTCCATTAGTTTGTTGAGGTGTGTAATCTCATGTGTTTAACAATAATTCATGTTTAATCACCCCAACAGGGCAAAAGTGCAAAGAAAGAACTTCTCATAAAAGAAAAAAAAATCAAAGCATTGGAGTCAAAGGTAAAAAAATCTGATTGTGTTGTACTTATACATTATTGTGCACTGTACTCAAACACTTGTTTTTAAACTGAAAATTGTCTTAAAACCAAAACAAAACCTCACAAGGAATGTGTTAAAGAGGTTTCACTATTATTTTGTAAAATTATAATGTTATAAGAAGATTGTTGAAGTCAACATGA